GGGGTTGCGCATGCTTTGGATCTAAGGGTAGCGACATGGGCCCTGGATGTGGTCCCTTACCTCCTTTAAAGGGTTCTGATGTATGGACCCTTAATTTGTATAGGGTCTGTAAGGGGTATATAAGGGGTCCCCGTTAAGGGCCATACACAGAGACCATGAAACTACCCCTAAAATCTAACCCTAAACCCGAAAAGCTAAGATTGGATGGTTGCCATTTGCAGCGCGTTTGTTTTGGCCATCCGTAGTCTGGTATGCAAGGGTTTAGGGTTTTGGGTTTGGGGTCAACAGCATCCAAGGGTGCAGAATTGGGAAGCCCTCGAACTCAGAGTGGGCCAACTTCCCTAAACCCTAAACCCTAAACCCTAAACCCTAAACCCTCAACCCTCAACCCTAAACCGCCAACTTTCAAAGGTACCGGTGCGTCTTAGGCTTTGCCGTGATCAATGTTGCCGCGCTCCCAGTTGCACGGGCTCGGGTTCTAGACGAAAGGTACTTTGAAGGGAACACGGCCCTGTAGACTTGGTAGCCCAGTGGTACCCTTTACCCTTTACCCTTTTTTTGGGTTATGGGTGCCCTTATAACACAACCAACCCAAAAAGGGTGCCCTCATTATAATATGGTTACTGGGCTACCAGGTAGATTTAGGGAGCGAACACAAAAAGGGACCCCAATTCAGGACTTCAGAAACAAGCCCCTTCTGGTAGGGACCATTCTGGTACACCCTATTAGAATCCAAATTAAAAACTATGCGTATACGGGGGAATACCCAAGTATATATACTTTAGAGCCACACATAAATCCGCAGTTTTAGGGCTCGGGATTGGTTGCGTGAGCTGCAAACCTGAGAAGACCGAGCTGAGGGTGGGTTCATGGGTAGTATAGCTGTGCTTCTAAGCCCTCCGAAGTCCCCTAAGTACGCTATAAGTAGACTAATACTTGGGGTTGTAAGTACCCATCTCAGCCCCTCTAAACTGTCAGCTCTTCCTGGGCAGTCCTGCGTAGGGGGGGTCGGGCCTGCTTCGTTTGGCCGAAGGCTTGACAAGGGCGTATCAAGTTGAGGCGAAGCTTTTTGTTTGTTTAGTTGCCCCAGTACCAAAAAAAGTAGGTTTTGGGTTCTTGCTGTGCGTTGCTTCGGGGTGTGGTCGTGTCGTGTTGTGTGTCTAGTACAAGATCTCAGGGTTGCAGGCTAAGCTTTCGGCGGCACATCGAAGGCTTCAGGTTCAGCTCTCCCTCCCTTGATTTTTGGGGGTTTGCGGTTTAGGGTTTAGGGTTTAGGGTTGAGGGTTTTTGGGGTCGCCGGGCGAAGGTCAACGCCATCTTTGTGCAGCAGACCCTCAAGGCTCGTTCCTTTGGGATCTTTTAGGGGTGCGTGGTGCGCAATTCACAGCCTTTTTAGGGTTTAGGGTTTAGGGTTTAGGGTTTAGGGTTTAGGGTGACTGCTGAAGAGTTGCTTGGGGTCTGAGGGGGCGGTGGGTGGAGTCCAGGGATGGGGACTTCGAGCCGGAAGCCCTAAGAATCCTCAATGCCCCGAAGCTTGCAAGGAATTGAAGAAGGTAACTCTAAACCCTAAACCCTAAACCCTAAACCCTAAACCCTAAACCCTAAACCCTAAACCCTAAACCCTAAACCCTAAACCCTAAACCCTAAACCCTAAACCCTAAAAACCCTAAACCCCCTAAACCCTAAACCCCCTAAACCCTAAACCCTAAACCCTAAACCCTAAACCCTAAACCCTAAACCCTAAACCCTAACCCCTAAACCTAAACTAAACCCTAAACCCTAAACCCTAAACCCTAAACCCTAAACCCTAAACCCTAAACCCTAAACCCTACACCCTACACCCTAAACCCTAAACCCTCAACCCTGAACCCTGAACCCTAAACCTGGTTTCTCGCATTCTGGCCGGCCAGACTGCCAGCTCTGACGAAGAGTTGGCTTTCAAGAACAAGGAGAAGGACCCTCGAACTGGTTCTTAGCAGGGGATGGGGAATGAGGTACCCTGTATAATCCCTATATGGGGGTTTACGAAAATAAAGGGACCCTAAGGGACTCCCCAAATAGTAGGGTTCCCTTAGAAAAGGGACCCCAACACCCCAAGCCGTACAGAAACCTTACTGCCTGAAGCCCTGCTCCTGTAGGTCTGGAACCCTAAACCCTAAACCCTAAACCCTAAACCCTAAACCCTAAACCCTAAACCCTAAACCCTAAACCCTAAACCATAAATTGGGATTTGGGGTGCCTGGATGTCTGGAACGCATTTTGGGGTCGTCGTGGCCCCGTGAGGGTACTGATGTCCCACATCCGAAATCCCCCAACCCGGCTCCGAAAGGTTAGGGTTTAGGGTTTAGGGTTTAGGGTTTGGGGTTTAGGGTTTAGAGTTTAGGGGCTTCGGGTTGAGGGCGAAAAGGGTTGAGAGTTAGTTTAGGGCTTCGGGGTTTTGGGCAAAAGGGGTTGAGAGTTTCAACGGCTGCTTTCGGAGCCCCTGGTCAGTCAGCCTGAGTTCTGCAGAGGACATTGCCATGTATGCCAACAAGGCCAGGCGGCCCTGCTGTGCCGCACGCCAGGGTTCTTAAGGGGGTAGAAGGAGGGACCCCCTAAAAGGGACCCTGAATCTTAATGCTTTTTTTACCTTACATAGTCCCCATACACCTAAGTAGCCCTTAAAGAGCCCCTAAATAACCCCTGTAAGGGTGCCTCCTTTAGTCCCTTCGGGGGTGTAGGGGTTTAGGCTTCATGGGTGTCAGCATACTTACCCGGCAGACTTCAAGAAGGCCTGGGTGCAAAAGGCTTCATGGGTGGGTATAAGTGGGGTTATGCGTAGGGTAGCTGTAGTTATAACATGTACAGCCCATTGCGACCCTCAACCCCAAACCCCAAACCCCAAACCCTAAACCCTATATAGTTCAGGTACATACCAAGCCTGCTTTCGCTGGTTTAGGGTTTAGAGTTTAGGGTTTCGGGTTTAGGGTTTATTGATATTGAGTGAAGGGATCCCAAACCACACACCTAAACCTAAACCCGAATGCAATCAAGCGCCACGTGTGACACCTCCAAAACATCCTAGCCCTAAACCCCTAAACCCTAAACCCGAAACCCTAAACCCAAAACCTAAACAGCCACAGTCTCCGCAGGTCTTTTTCGTAATACGAGCTTTCAGAGAAGAGTTCGGCTTCTACGTGCCTTTAATTCTGTCCCTTTAGCCTGAAGCACTTGAATCCCCAAAACTTCTGGAGCTATCAAAGCACCCAAAATCCAAAAACCTCCCAATCACACGTATACTCCTTAACTGCAACCGCTGGTATTCTTCCTGGGTCTAGAAGCTGTTTCTTATTATATATGCCTTAAACCCTAAACCCTAAGCCCCAAACCCTAAACCTTAAGCCTTAAACCTCAAACCCTAAACCCTAAACCCTAAACCCTAAGCCCCAAACCCTAAACCTTAAGCCTTAAACCTCAAACCCTAAACCCTAAATCCTAAACCCTAAGCCCCAAACCCTAAACCTTAAGCCTTAAACCTCAAACCCTAAACCCTAAACCCTAAACCCTAAGCCCCAAACCCTAAACCTTAAGCCTTAAACCTCAAACCCTAAACCCTAAACCCTAAACCCTAAACCGCAAACCCTGGAGGTGAAGAAGCTATTTCAGACCATGGACTTCTCAGGGGACGGGGCCATCAACCTCGAGGCTGATTAAGGGTTTGGTGTGTTTAGGGTTCAGGGTTTCGGGTTTAGGGTTTAGGGTTTCGGGTTTAGGGTTTAGGGTTTAGGGTTTCGGGTTTAGGGTTGAGACTCTTGAGTTGAGGGTTTAGGATTGCGGGTGTTGAGTTTAAGGGCTGAGGGTTGAGGGTTCAGAACTGGGGTTGAGGGTTCAGAATTCCCCCCCACACACCGAACCTGAAGACACTTAAGTAGCCATAGAACAGTCTGTCAAAAGGGTCCATGTGTTTGTTGCCAAGTTGGGCCGGTGAAGCTGAACGCCTCAGGCTCCGTGCTTCATGATGTGTTCCGGTAGTTCTTGTTGATGGTTTGGAAGGCTTGCGCGTTCACTGTGCGAACCTTTGGCCCAATGATTCAACATGGATAGACGAATGTCAGCTAGGCAGGTGGCAACGAAATCCCTACGGCCTGGAACCTCAAGCCCTTGAAACCCCTCAACCCTAAACCCTAGGTGGCAAAACAACACCCTAAACCTTAAACCCTTGAAAGCCCCTCTTTAAGGAGTTCGCCAAGCTGGTGAAGTCGCCGAAGCTGAAGCGGCTTGACCGATGCTGTTGGGTTGTCCTGGCGAACCCGAAGCCCTAAACCCTAAGCCCTTTCCCCTAAACCCTGAACCCTCAACACCCTAAAGGGTTCCGACAAACCTAGGCGCCCCTGCGTTTCGAAAAAGCATAATCCGAGGGGGAGGTGTGTGAGGGTTGCTCAGTGTGATTTTATCCCTTGATAAGGTTGCAGACGAACATAAGGCTAGTTAGCCTATGTTTAACCAACTGCTTTGCAACTCTAGGCAGGCCCTTGGGGCATTTCATGTTTTCCCTTATTGGGTGTAGGGTTTAGGGTTTAGGGTTTGGGGTTTAGGGTTTAGGGTTTAGGTCCTCGGGTGTCAGGAGTTGTCACGCATTCGTCCGGGCATTTCGCGTGCAATACGCCGTGGGTTTCTAGGCCTCACCCTGGCTGCATACGATTTGCCTCTTTCCCCAACTGCCTGAAGAGCCAGTACGTGGACAGTAGCCCGGGAAACGCAAAAAACCCTGAACCCTAAGCCCTAAATGCGGGTAGCAAAAAAACAAGTCTAACCCTAAACCCTACCCCAAACCTCAAGCCCCCGCAGGCAGGGACCCGGAGCCATCCCGCCTAGCGCGTCACCTGCGCGATTGCTGCATGCATAGCACCTTCTGCCACAGAATAGTCTGCTCTTCACAACATTCAGAAGGTCTTGGGTGGTTTTTTTGAGGGCATGTTTTGAATGCTAGCAGGGTGATCTTTCGGCCAACGACTTTCCGCATGAAGGTTCTCATAGCAAACAGGGTTCGGGTTTCCAAATCCGTCTTCATGAACGATGCCAGCGACTGGTCTGATGGCTCCGACTTCCCTGATGCTCCACCAGTGGAGTTGAGGGAGGTGGCCGTGGACGATGAGAGCGCAGGTCTGGGGATGTTTGCAACTCAGAACATCAAGACAGGCGAGCACATCTTGTACCTATATCCCCCTTGGAAATTATTTGTTAAATTTTTGTTCATATAAAACCCAAGAGGATATTAAACATACTATTTTTATGAAGGTTCTAAGGGGAGTATAGGTACGAGGATCCTTTCCACGAGCAAGTGGCAAACTACTCCTTCTGCCGGCCGGAGATGCAGATCGACCCGGAGGCTCAGAGCCTGCAGGAGGAAATGGAGAGGCTTCTGGGCCTCGTGCGTAGATAGATTGCTACTACTTGCCTAAGAACCCCGAAAAAACAAGAATATTCTTCCTTATTAAGGGGAATATAGGGACTGTTGATCTGTTATTCTTTTGGGGTTCTTAAGCAAATAGTAGATTGTCCCAGATCTTTTTTCGTTAGCTCTAGGAAGACATGAATCCTGTGGAGAAGGTAGCTGTCAGCTGACCCAGCAAGGTTCGCACGCAAGTACAGCCACCTCCCACATGGACACCCCGACAAGTACCCACCGGAGGCACGGGCGGTCATGGATCGGTTGATCGACAAGGGGACGCTCTTCACCTACGAGCAGATGTCGCAAACGGCGAGGGCCAAGTTCAGAGCACTCGCAGATTGCCTCGGAAGGATCCTGCCAAATAATCCGGTGATCATCACGGGCCTGACCTCGGAAGCTGGCATTCAACTGAATGGGCTCAGCGGAATTGCTCGTGACTTCGATGGACAGAGATGGGCTGTCATCTTGCCCCAGCTTGGTGGCAAGAAGATCAAGCCAGGAAACCTAAAGACACCAGGAGGCATTCTACGGACCAACAGCTTTCAGGAGGCATCCCCTGATGGGTGCGTTACAGAGGTCATGTTTGAGTACATATGTCGCATCAACCACTCATGTGTACCCAATGAACAAATGTATCGAAGAGGCGACTGGGACCCGGCGGTGACTTTGTGCTGTTTGCACTGCGCGACATTCGCGAGGGAGAGCAGCTCTTCATCGACTACGGCGTCCCAGAGGGTGATCTGCAAACCAGAAGGGGTTGGTTGAGGATGAAATACAACTTCACGTGCCACTGTGCAGCTTGTGGTGCTTGAAGTTGAGGTTGACAACCAGCCGATGTTGACATGCTGTTCCCTGCGCCCGTCACGGCCACAAAGCCCGCGGGTGCCCGCTGAGGCTGCGCATGCGCCCTTTCGGTCCGCATGCGTGCGATGGACTCTTGCAAGATCAAAAGGTTGCCAAGGACTACTGGCTGGTTCTTAGTAGGGAATGAGTAGGGCCCTCATTCCCTACTAAGAACCAGGGAGACAAGGAGAGCGCAGAAGCAGAAGTCCTCGTATAGACAACTCGAATTTGTTAGACGAGGTAGTCCAGGCAAATATATCGAGCAATACACTTCACAATCCTCGAACCTTTGCAAAGCCCGAACAGCGTGCAATGGCCGTTAGCAGGGGCACCCTAAACCCTAAACCCTAAACCCTGAATGATGGACTCTTGCAAGATCACAAGAGACAAATGGCTGGTTCTTGGTAGGGAATGAGAAAATGAGGCCCCTCTATAATCCTTTAAAGGGTTTATATAGGGCCCTCATTCCCTCATTCCCTATTAAGAACGAGGGGGACAAGGAGAGCGCAGAAGCAGAAGTCCTCGTATGGACAACTCGAACGAGGTAGTCCAGGCGAATCTATCGAGCAATGCCCTTCACACTCTTCGAGCCTTTGAAAGGCCCGAAGAGCTTGCAATGTTAGCAGGGGCACCCTGCAGTAAACCCTAAACCCTAAACCCTAAACCCTAAGCCCTAAACCCTAAACCCATGAGACTACGACAGTGATTGCAATGAGAGAGGCAATGTCCGCGATCGATGTAGGCATCGGCATCCATACTTCGAATGCTCACCCGTGGGAGTCCGTAGCGCAAACCCGAATCCCTGAACGTTTAGGGTTTAGGGGGTTTAGGGTTTAGGGGTTTAGGGGTTTAGAGGTTTAGGGGTTTAGGGGTTTAGGGTTTAGGGTTTAGGGTTTAGGGAAACCCCTTGGAAGTTCGAGGTTCTGGATGAGCCAGCTGGAGCTCGAGTACCACGACCTGCTCAGCCTCTTCGAGTTCTTGGTCGCCCGGCGGAGACGGGATGTCGTTTAGGGTTTAGGGTTTAGGGTTTAGGGTTAGCAAAGGGCCCGTTGGAAAAGGGTTTAGGGTTTAGGGCTTAAGGCTTGGGGTTTAGGGTTTGGCAAAGGGTTTTTGGTTAGAAACGGGCCCCTTAGAAAAGGGTTTAGGGTTAAGGGTTTGCGAGGACTCACGCAAGCCTGCTGCCAAAAAGGGTTTATGGTTTAGGGGTTAAGGGTTTAGGGTTTAGGGTTTAGGGTTTAAGAGTTTAGGCTTTAGGGGTTAAGGGTTTCGAAAGGGTTTCGGAGTCAAATGGCCCTGAGATGCGAAGCAAGGGGCCTACATCGGGAGGAACTCGGATGTTCAGGGGTACTTCTAAGTATAGCTGTACTAAGCCCCCTAAGTCCCCTAAGCAGGGTGCAAGTAGACTCATAATTGGAGTTATAACCCTAAACCCTAAACCCTAAACCCTAAACCCTAAACCCTAAACCCTAAACCCTAAACCCTAAACCCTAAACCCTAAACCCTAAACCCTAAACCCTAAACCATGAACCTCCAAGTTCTGGCCTGGGGGGGGGGTTTAGGCGGGGGGACCAAGTCCTTGGACCCCAAAACTGGAAAAGCACATGTACCAGAACTAGAAGGGTTTAGGGTTTAGGGTTTAGGGTTAGGGTTTAGGGTTAGGGTTTAGGGTTTGCGGCTATAGCCCCAATCATAAGTCTACTCATAACCTACTTGGGGGACTCAGGGGGCTGATAAGCACCGTTATAGCTGGGGTTATAAGGGCCCTGAACGTCCAAGTACTACAAAGTGAGCCGCAGGAAGCACGATTCACGATTCGCATCGTTTCTGTGACCTTTGGTGTAGACGATGGGGGTTGCGGGTGTTCGGGTTTATGTATGGTTTAGGGTTTAGGGTCCCAGTCTGGGTTCAAAGGTTTTCGGGAGACCGCCCTGGTGCATCAAGGGTTTAGGGTATCTGACACCGACCCCAACCTACCTACTTGGGGTTCGCGTGTGGGTAGTTCAGGTATGGCAAAAGTAGGGTGAGCGTACCTATGCGCATGAATGTGGAAGTGCCTCATTTCAGGGGCTTAGGGTTTAGGGTTTAGGGTTTAGGGTTTAGGGTTTAGGGTTTAGAACCCAGAAGTTTGGTCAGGATAATGGCGACGGCGAAATCACGTTGTCAGAATTCATCGAAGGCAGTGGGCTTGGGCGAACGTTCACAGCTCGGATCTTCTTGCCGCAGACACAGGGACATGTAAGTTGCTAGGCCATGCCATCAGCTTCATTCGACTCGATGCAGGGCTGGTGTGATGTTTTTTTTTTTTTTTGCCCCTTGTTTCGAGACGCTAAACCCAACATCCCGAACTCTCAGACCCCCAACCCTAAACCAACGCTAAACCCCGCAAGAGAAAACTGAAGTTCTATGTGGTTGTCTGAGAACTTGTAGCATCGGTGGGCTTACCATGGCCTCTCTTCAAGCCCAACAGCACTAACATGTTCAATTTCCTTCCGCCTCTTTGCTTGCTACGTGCCAACATATAATTCGGACTTTGCATGCATCGAGCAAGCCCTAAACCCTAAACCCTAAACCCTAAACCCTAAACCCTAAACCGTAGCCATTTTGGCTCAAGGTACTTTAGAGGAAAAGGCTTGGCCGTTTCCGTCCAACATGTCATTCACACTCGATGACACCAAGCTTGCTGACGAGGGGTCCAAACTCTTGAGGGCCAAGCCCAATGCCGAATCAGCCAAGCTGCTGCGCGCCGTCGCGCTGTGCAACACGTCTAGGGTCTACAAGTCATTTTACTCAGAGCCGACATTCGGTAGCACCCGCGCCAGAGTGAACCTGGTCCTCAGGGATGCTAATGCTGACCCTCTCGTGAACCATGTCATCTTGGCAGCGTCTCTGCTCCAGACAAAATCAGAGCATAAGAAGGGGCAATAAGGGTTTAGCTCTGAGGCCGTTCTTGGTTCCTTTCTTGCCCTTCACGGTACTGCCCTCAATGACTCAACAGGTGTCGCTAACTCTGTTGCTAGAGACCATAGTTTCGACATGGGAGCACTGGTTGTTGACGTCCCGGAGGACCTGGTATTCCACGGCCTAGACACAACCCTCGAAGATCTGATCCAGTATGCACGAAGGGCAACGGACTTCTTCCATGGAGCTCTGCCAATTCTGGTGTCGGCATCAAAGACCATCTCCAAGGGCACAAAGTTGTCTGACATCATCAATGATGCGCAGATGGAAGGCCTCAGGCCCAAGGCTGACAAGCCGAAGGCCAAATCGGCGACAGGTCGGAGCACCATGCAGGGCGGCATTATGCAGAGTGTGCGCGTGTCCCCTGCAACTCTCGAGACTATCGATATAGACGAGGAGGACACCATCGATATCGACACCGATGTTGGTGATTATACACCAAGCTTCTCCGGCACACCAGTACTGGACACCTCGGCTGACCCGGAGTTTGACAGTGAGAGGTTCCGCAAGTTCATCGGACGCGACGAGGGTGTTCGCTCCAAACTGTCTGTGCCTGCCGCCATCCTTACTATCTGTGCTATCCTGCAGGCTTGGGGTGATGTACCAACTGGGCTATCGTTCACTATCCTGTGTACCGCCGCACACCACATCGTCTCCGGCCGCTGGAAAGACTCAACATTCTTGTGCGCTCATGCCGAATTCTTCATCAATGTTGTATGCAAACAACCCTCACGTGACGCTACACAGGCAGACACGTTTGCCACATACGCTCGCAGGAGGGGTCATGCTACATCAGAGATGTGCACAAGAGCCAACGAGCGCCCGTCTGCGCTGGCTGCAGCACCGACTACGTACGAATATGCCGCGTCGATGACATCTTTGCTTCTTCAAGCCTTCGGCGTCCAAAAGGCAATGTTTTCGGTCCTATCTAACTACACCGATGGCTCTTACACTGGGTTTCATGCCACAGTGGCAACGAAACATCTTGAGCTAGCCCGTTTCGCCACAAGGACCCAGCTTGGCAAGGTCATGGATACTCTACTCACTCAGTACCCAGTGGTGGTGAACTTTGGCCCAATGATGGAGGAGATCCGAAAGGTTGCACAGGCTGCTGTCCAGGTGACCAAGGTGGCGGGCGCTGAAATGATCCCCTATCAGGGTCTCTTGGGCCTGCAAGGGCATGAACTCACAGCGGCTCGAGAGATCCCAATATCTGGTGCTGTTGTTATCAGATACCTGCGAGACGCGAACCCCCAGGGGACATGGAGCAACTACAGCTTCAACGAGACACTTGCTCCGCAGGCTGACGTCGAGGAGTGCCTGAGGATCATTGCAGCATCACGGGTGAAGTACACTATCGGTGCGGACGAGGAGAAGGGTGCTATCAATGTCTACACTCCAGGACCCACTATCGAGGAAGAGGACGGAGACACCCTTGAGAAGGCCCTTGGCGGTGGGTCATAATTGACCGAACAGACCGATGTGTGACTGCGTGGTAGTGTGTCCTACACGACTATCGTACTATACACTGGCTTCCTTGACTACAATCTGTATGAATAGAAAAAAAACCCTAAACCCTAAACCCAAAACCCTAAACCCTAAACCCTAAACCCTCAACCCTCAACCCTCAACCCTAAACCCTAAACCCTAAACCCTACCTAAACCCTAAACCCTAAACCCTAAGCCCTAAGCCCTAAACCCTAAGCCCTAAGCCCTAAACCCTAAACCCTAAACCCTAAACCCTAAGCCCCGGCCCAAAATGTCCTGGCAGGCTCCAAGCGCCCCAAAATGCCAAAAGGAAAGCTCTTCCAAAAAAAGCACCAAACCTCCCAAGCCGGCAGACTCCCTCACATGAACTACAAACAAAACCACGCCAAAAGGGCGTGGGTCGATGCACCCCCCACGCCCCCCAGCCCACCCCCCCCAAAAAAAATGCAATGTGATCCTGTGCTCCAACAGTCAAG